AAATTATTATGACTAGGAGGCAGCTTCACCGAGGCCAAAAATGGAAGGCTTAATACTGATCATAGTAGTGATGATGTCAAGCTTAACTTTGGGAGGGAAAGGTCAGCAGATAATTAGCACGCCGTGCACTTCCTCCATGATCTCTAGCTTCACTCCATGTCTCAACTTTATCACCGGAAGCAGCGGTGGCTCCGTCACTCCCACCGCCGGCTGCTGCGACTCCCTCAAGTCGTTGACGAACACCGGCATGGACTGTGCGTGCCTCATCCTCACCGCTAACGTCCCGCTGCCTACTGGCTTCATCAATCGGACTCTCTCGCTTGGTCTCCCACGTGCCTGCAAAATGGGCGGTGTGCCTGTTCAGTGTCAAGGTTTGAGCTAGCTTTACTCAATTAACTTTTTCATTACTACTCCCATGATTAGTGAGTGACTCATTTGCTTCATATACATTTTACAGCCGCCGGGACTCCTCTGCCAGCGCCAGGTTTTTCTAGTTAATTGTTGTATTTGTATATGTATCTATGATCGAGGATTCAGTTGATTTCATTAATTACTATATTGGTCAATGGTCAGGTCCGGTTCCATTTTTGCTGGCTCCACCACCGCCTATATCTGCTTTTAGCCCCGGAGGTGAGTAGTTAATCAACCGAGCGACAAGGATGTACGTAGTAGATATTATGCGTTTGAATTTGATTTTGTTGGACTCATCATTTCATCAGCGTCTAAGGCGGAGGCGACAACACCGGCACCTGCACCTGCACTGGATGCTCCCCTGGATGGACCGATGGGCCCCACAACAAAACCAGGAATTCAACCGGTGGTTCAGCCCTTTCAACCCACCAGCCTCGCTCATTGCGCTACTTGTCCATTCCTTCCGTTGCTTTTCTTTCTCATTCTGTTAACTTTGTAAACCAATCGGCATGTCGATATTCAAATCTCTTAGCAACTTGTGTGTGTATGTGCATGTTGTCCTTTGTCAGGCACTTTCATTAATTTACGATTCATCGTTACATATATTATTCACTAGCTATTCATCTCAAATTTTAATTACATCCACAGAGGATTACATTCTAACGACACAACATAGAACAAGATGAAGGAAAGAGAATGCTTTTTTGGGTTGTCACTCGTATACAATGATAGATCTTTCCTTCATCTTGTTTGGATCTTTCCTTCATGACGTAGTCTATAAACGAAAAAAGAAAAAAGTACACAAAACTGCGATTTACATATACAGCATTAACCATGATTTTATCAGGTGCCTTGAGATATAATAGGCAACACCGCTGCTGTTTCAAGCCTCTTCAAGAGCTTTCTTGATGTCTTTCTGCTCGCACACAAAACATGAGACCGGATCACGACAATGGCCATATGGACACTCTGGATACATAAAGAATGCATACCTCGATTGATAGCGTAACCATGGGGCCGTAACGATCAATAACTAGGCCATCTTTGCCGACCAAGAACTTGGTGAAGTTCCACTTAACTCTAGAACCCAGAAAAGTGGGTTTATTTGCCTTAAGGAATTTGTAGAGTGGTGCTGCGTTTTCACCGTTTACGCGTACCTAATTCCACATTCACAATTGGTTGTACCATAATCAAGTGGTTGGTGTTGAAGAACATATAGGGATTTCTAGTTACACTAGATCTAAAAAAATTCCACAAGTCATAAGCGCTGCTAAAAATTAATAAAAGAAGAGATAGATAATTTGCCTTTTGGAAAACAGGGTATTCGGCCTGAAACCGTGTACAAGCAAATTCATGAGCCTCTTGACTTGTGCCGGGCTCCTGGTACAGAAACTGGTTGCAAGGGAATGCCAAGATCTCAAACCCTGATGATATAATGGTAATAGTTATTAACCAAAGAACATGCGTGATGAGCTTGCAATTGCATCAT